TACTAATAGCTATTTACAAACAAACTCTTAGAGCAGGATACCATAGCAGATAGACTAATTTTGACAAATACCTCCAGAGAACTTAAGCAAGGAAATTCCTTAAGGATTTCCAACAAGTCACCAACTGAATTCTGTTCCAAGGGATTTCCCCGAAGATTCAAGTACGAGAGAGATGGCAACTCAACAGGAGAAAAGGCCTGAGAAGGATAACTAAGAGGATCATCAAACCATGTGAAACTAACTAGTGGTCATAACTGGTACATTCAAATGCCATAACCATCAGTCCAACTTTCAAGATAAATAGCACACATTCAAATGCCAAACCAGTGCTTAAGAGTTTACATTTCCTTCGAGATAATAACACACTAACCAATATAGCTGCAGAGTTCTCACCTTGTTGTTTAAATTGTGAATACCTCTATGTGAAAGGTCTAGACTAGTAACGTCCTGCAATGAGTGATCAGCTGGGTAGATGCTTCCAGGATTATCCTTTTCATATATATCTCCACAAAAGCCCAATGCCCACTCAGAAAAGTTATGAGTAAATCGTGAGTTGTAGATTTCCAAATTTGGAGATCCATCAAGAACTTTCTGCTGCAGGATCTCATCACTGTAAAGGAAGCGTTCAGAACACTTCTGAAATGCATTCAATAATTTAAGCATGAAGACACGAGTATTTTGCACCACTGGACTATCATACATACCAGTTTTCTACAGCAGGATTATTGTTCAACCAAAGTGCTCTAAGATGTTTAAATTTAGCAACTTCCTGAGCGACCACATCTACATTACTAAGCTTGTTTCCAGTCAAGCTAAGTGCCAGTAAATCCTAAATCAGAAGAAACAAAATGCACTTTTAAGACTAGTATATGAAAATATCCATAGCTACGAAATCAGAAACTAGAAAGTTATATTAAGAGAGATTTCTATTTCCAATATTACTGAAAATTTGTTGAAATATTCAGTATGCTATATCAAAATACATTCTCCTGAAAAGTGATAACATCAAAATTTTGATTACAAATTCTACTTTTTCTATAATATTCACAGGAAAACTATACGCATTGTAATTATAATCAACGCAATGCAACCAGTTCAACATTGAGTTTATATCAGTTTTCGATGATAACATTTTACGTCAAATTTTTTTCTCAACTGACAGAAATACCGGAAACTTAGTTGGCAAATCGAGGGACAAGAGTGTATCATCATCAATTTGAAGATCTTCAAGCTCCAACCATCTCACAGAGCCATTTCCTTTTTCTTTCGCACCATGTATTTCACTCTCCAATAGTTCCCAAACACTCTGTTGATCTACTTCTTCCTCTTTCGCGTCCTCATCCAAATTCATATCAACATCTACACACATCAAGGACGCCATTCTCTCGGCCAATCCCGGCACTTCCAGCAACTGTCCGCACGCAACCATTCCCAAGTTAACAAGAGTAACTCACTTCAGTAGCCTTAGAAATGAAGGAACAAATTCAGTATAAGAATATAACCTGATTGTAAGCGTCGGAGAGACGGAAAGTCCAGGCATGGTCGACGAGGAACACGTGCGATTCCTTGGACATGAAGTCTGAGGAGAGGACGAGCCGTCTACAGCGTCCATCCTCGAACGGTTCGACTTGAAAGTGAGCGCCACCGTCAAAGGTCTCCGAAGTCAGTTTCTGAAACAGTTGACGGTGTAAAGATTGAGGAAGTCCGGAGGCGGCGAGGAGCAAACCATGGACTTCAACGAAATCCTCATAAGCTTCGATTCTATTTCCGGCGGCCATTTCTGGACGTGATATTCGCTGTCCTTCGCCGTTCAGTGGCGGCTTTGTGCAACTCAAAAGAGCAGAACTGAGCTCGGGCAACACACCCGAGAAAGACAGTCAATCGGTGGGCTTTAAGAATCCATTAGTATGATGTGAGCCCAAGTCCATAGTTTTCGGCCTTTACGGCCCATTATATCCGAGCATGTGAGCCCAAGCCCATAGTTTTCGGCGGCCCATTATATCCGAGCCTAAGCTCGTCTGCGAATGTGCCGTAAAATTTAATTAAAAACACTCTCTCTCTCTCCTTTAATATCTCTCCATTCTTAAAATTATAAATTTAATTATTAAACTTTCCAAAAAAAAATTAATTAAATTAAATTTAGAGTTTTATTTAACTCAATCTTTGTGGTGGACTTTGATTGTTACAAATGGTAGCAGAAGTTTATATCGAGCGGTGGGCCAGCTGTCACAATCGCATTCTTGATGGCAGCGAACGTACGATTGTCCAGCACTCATATTTTATATTTTATTTGGGTAACTGATAAACCCAAAACCCTTCAATTATATCCCAACCATTTCATTACTCGTGTTACGGGTTAATATTCTTGACTTTTGAGAAGAACAAAAAGTTGGTTCGAAATTAGTATTCGTGTTACAGGTTAGTATTCTTGACTCTAGCCATAAGCTATAGTAGTTCCAGCTTGCAACAACTACAAGCTGCCTTGACGACTGACACTCTATCTCAAGACGTACTCCTTACAAAGAACTAGGTTATGTATAAATGAAGTTTCTGGGTCATCATTTAGGTTTCAAAAGGGCATGCTCGATTCGATTCCTACTCGTGCCGTGTAGTTTATTGGGTCATTCTTTAGATTCATGGTCGTTATTTTCAATAAATTCATGTCGGCTAGATTTAGATAATAGATAATAGATAATATAAATGTAATCTTAATATTTAAATTTGAATTTGAATTTTATTTGTTTATGTTTCTATAAATTAAAACGTGAAGTTGAGATTGGAATAGAAATAAATGGGTTATCCTTTACCCTCAACTCCAATTTTTTCACCTTCTTCTTCCACGTTCATCTCTCAAGAGGAATTCAATTTATTCCACAAAATCGACAGACAACTCTACACCATACTCACCATCAACATTGGCAGAGACCCCATTGAAGCTCTGCAAATAATGGCGTTTTGGCTATGGCTCGAACGAGCCGGTTTTCGCAACACCGTTTTCCGAATGCTCCAATTGCCACTCAATTTTATCAACGACCTCGCCAATGAAGCCGTTGCCGCTCTCGCCTGCATTGCCTCCGACCACACACCGCCGTCCTCCGATGACCGCAGCAATAATATTCCTCTCACACAAATTTTCATGACCAAGGAAATTTCTCTTCAGATTCTCTATGCCAATCGGACGGCGGCCGTTGAAGGGGTGGCTAAAATTCAGAACGAGGTCTGTTTTAGATGTATGACAGATATTATGATCACAGCCATTAATCAACGCCAACTCGCGGCCGCCGCCGCCCCCGCCGGTACCCCGTTACCGTCTCAGCCGCCTTCTTTTCATATAGCCGTTGATAGTAGAGATTGGGTGTGTTTTATTTATATTTTTATAACTAAAAAAGTTTAGAAATATTTTTATTAATTTAACATTTTCTTAATAATTTATTAAGGTACCGCCAGATGAAAGAGCAGTTTTTGTAACGTTTTCCAAGGGCTATCCGGTGAATGAGAGGGAGGTTCGAGAATTTTTCACCGTAAACTATGGCGATTGCATACAAATGTTTCAAATGCAAGAAGTAAAGCCAAACCAACAAGCACTGTTTGCTCGTATAGTGTTTTGGTCAGCCGCTACTATAAACCACGTTCTTCAAGGACAGCCCAAAATGAAGTATACTATCAATGGAAAACATATATGGGCTCGGAAGTTTATTCCCAAACCGCCCCTAGCCCCATCTTTGCCTCGCCTTCCACCTAGGTCACTTTGAGTTCTATTTTCAAACATGGAAAGTGATATATTTCGACTTATATTACTCTATAAAATATTCATAAAATATTATTTCATTTCATTTTGTTTTTTTATATATTTTTTTTTTTAGATAAGTATTCATGCAAATGAAATTTTAATCAAAATATATGATTTTTATTTCATTACAAACATATTTTGAATCATATTTTATCTTAAATTTTGGAAACTAAATATATCATTTTAGATTTTTTTTTTAATTATTAAAGATATATCAAAATAATAATAAAATTTCTAATTATTTGAATTAATAAAATAATATTATGAAATTTATTTTAAGATATATTCTGATCAAACAAAATGACATTTTTTTTTATTAAAAGAAACTAATTATGACTGTCTTATTTGTAAATATATATAAAAATAACTAAAAATCACATATAAAAACAAAAAAAATAAAAATAGATGTGATCTGTCAATCTCATCTCATTATTATAAAACCAATAAAAAAAATATATGTTTTAAAATAAAATATTAACTCTTTATATACGACGGATATCTAATTCAACTCGTTATTCGTCTCGCAAACGAAATAAGCCATTTCGAATAGATTTATTATTACAGAATACAATTAATCCGACATGGGCTACATGAGCCCCCAGTAATTTATCGGATAAATTGATAAGTCGGGTATTCTCGATCCACCAAGCAAAAACGATAGTTTCCTGGTCACGACAATCTAACTAAAGTTCTATTAAAGAGCGTCTACACGGGAAGAACCTCCTCAAAAAAATACCTTTGTTTAAGTGAATGTTTTTTATACAAAAAGTCTTAAATTCATAATCTTACACCATGATGTTATCATATTTATGAAAAATGTCATAATTAATATAAAATATAAATAATTAATTTTTTTAATTGACAACTTAAATTTTTTAAAAATTAATTAATTTAATAAAATATTATTAAAAAATGAAAAATAGAATAGGAATCCAACCATGTAACTATTCTCTACCACACAAATATAAACTAATTAAATATTGAAAATACAATAAAATATACTATAAACCCGATCAAAATAAAGAATATTAAAATATAATAAAGATATATTCTATAAATAATATTCTTTTTAAAGGTTATATCTCGTTTAAATTTTAATTTTGTGTTCATAATTCTTCGATTAAAGTTTTGAGAATTGGTCTTATATAATCAAAATTTCAAACAAATCCAAATTATCGCCAAATTCCCGCGTCATTTTGGTCGAGCTTTTGCGCCTCTCGCTTCATCTGTGCCTACGACCTTAATTTCTCTGGATTTGGAGGGGTTTTGGAGGCCGGATCTTGCTAAAATTTAGATGTGGAGAGAGCTGGAAAGTTTCAGGTTTCGTTGATTTACGTTTTATGTGCAGTGCCAATTGATTCGCTATGGATTCCGTATCAAGTCGCGAGGATTCTTGGGAAGATGTTTGCAGTATCAATTTGATGCCCTCGGCATTGTAAGTCGCCTTCAAATTATGATCTATGTTTCACAGTTCAGATGATTTCAAGGTATGCATTATCTGCTATTTATAACTTTGGTGGATATAAATGTTGCCAAGTTTTTCTTAGATATTTCTTGCTTCTGTGGGCTGCATGTTTAGGGCTTTGCTGTGATTTCTTTGATGACATTGTAGCTTTATAAGGTCTATAGAATATGTCAATTATCCATATCTCAGTTATATCAATCTGTGGTTTGAATAGATTTTTGCTGAACATTGGTGATGCTTAGACACCTAGAATGAACTAAGGAAGTTGATATTTCCTTTGTAACTGTGAAGCTAAAGAAAAATGAAAAGTTCTCTGGCTCTGTCTGATACTAAGTTAAATTTGTAGGGCTTCAGTTATTCCTTGCGTGCCTGCAGATTTTGTAGTGTTTTTAGCATCTGGTGTGAGTGTAACATCTTGGTTGGTTGTACATGTTTGAAAGTGATGTTGTTGCTAACCAGTAAAGGTACGCCGTGCACGACATTCAACTATCGATTTGTTTTGGAGTCGAGCGAGGATTTTGAGCGTTAGAATATAGAGTTTATGTGAGATCTCAAATCGGTTAAGGAGGAGAACAAAACATTCTTTATAAGGGTGTGGAAACCTCTCCTTAGTAGATGCGATTTAAGAACTTTGAGGGGAAGCATGAAAAGGAAAACTCAAAAAGGACAATATCTACTAGTGATGTGCTTGGGCTCTTGTAAATGGTATCAGAGTCAGATACCGAGCGATGTGCCAGTGTGGATTGGGGGTCCCACATCAATTGGAGAAGAGAACAACCGGGACGCTAGGTCCAGAAAGGGGGTGGATTGTAAGATCCCACCTCGGTTGAGGAGGAGAATGAAACATTCTTTATAAGAGTGTGGAAACCTCTCCCTAGTAGATGTGATTTAAGAACTTTGAGGGGAGCATGAAAAGGAAAACCCAAAAAGGACAATATCTATTAGTGATGTGCTTGGGCACTTGTAAATGGTATCAGAGCCAAATATCGGGTGATGTACCAACGTGGATTGGGGGTCCCACATAGATTGGAGAAGAGAACAACGGGGATGCTAGGTCCAGAAGGGGGGTGGATTGTGAGATCCCAGACACAGGAGGAGAACGAAGCATTATTTATAAGAATGTGGAAACCTCTCCCTAGCATACGCGTTTCAAAAACCTGAAGGGAAAGTTCGAAAGGGAAAGCTCAAAGAAAATAATATGTACTAGCGGTGGTCTTGGACTGTTGCAGTTTAGCTGTTGTATCTCTTGAATGTTGTACTAGTATTTATACGTGGTTAAGTTTCCTCGATGTTATTGCAAGCATTTGTGGTTCATGTGCCATTCTTGAAAGAATAGATTGTAGTATATGAAACAGGGCAATACACTCCTGATTTTCACAAGCTCAGTTTATATCAATTTATATACTCTTTAGATTGAAAGGATTTGCATTTAATATTTGGTTCAATTCTATAATGTTCCATGTAATGAACACAAAGCCAAGCTTGTGCTGAAGCCAGTACATCCGAACGAGCATTGGAAATTATCTTCGAGCCAATTCGACAAGACACACATCTTCAGGTACAAAGCTTCTAACTCAGCCAACCAAAACAATGTCTTTTAGCAACAAAGCCAGAGGCCCTCGTATATCATAGCTTAAAAGGATATTATATATGATCTTACACTCCATTGTGTTACACAAAAGGAAGAAAGTGCTGGCAGCCTTAGCTAGAGCCGCCCATGTATGTAACATTCGGATCTCTACACGAGTTCACCTTTTCATACAAGGTTGATAAGGGTATTTTACAATTCCTTCTGGCATGAAGTATGCATCAATTCTTTCATTCCATGTTTTCGGGGTTTGCTTCAGTCTGTCAAGAGTCTTTTTCAACTGGTAGGTGATTCGAAAATAGAGGCGTCTTGATCTTTAGATTCTGAGTCGGATAGTGTGCCGAATCACTGATCAAAGAGTCAATTTTGGAGAGATTCTTGTGGTGACATCAATTTTTATCTTCTGTTTCTCAAAATACAAGTACAAGTCTGTATTTTACGTAATTTTCAGATGCACGCCACTAGTTGGAAACGGAGGCTAGCTAACAACATGTTCGGTTGAATTCGACAAGGCTGTAGGCACTGGTGAATTGTTGTTTAACTTGAACTCATGAAGGCCGGAAGGACACACAGTGATGAATCGACCCACCGCTATTAGGTATTGTCTTCTTTGGCCTGTTTTGTATCGTCGTTAGTTTCACAGTTCCAAAACGAATTTGTTAGGGAGCGATTTCCACACCCTTATAAAGAATGTTTCATTTCTCTCTTCAAATCGATGTGAGATCTACCAGTTACAATGTGAGATCTACTGGTTAACTCTCAGATCACCCATTTTGAACTTGAGAAGATGAAAAGCATAGCAGCTGTATAATTCAAAGCTTCTAAAGGATGAAAATGGCAGAGCAAAGTTTTCATCCAAAATTGCTTTAGATTTTGGAGGAAGTAGAAGCCTGCAAATACTCATGTTTTTGTAGTTTATTTGAACATGCAACTTAAATAACTGTTCATGTAAATCACATTTATTAGGTTAAGTAATTCATAAAAAAAACAATACTGTAAAAATTAATATAATTTTTTTGGTCCTTCCTGAGATCTACTTGATATTTTAAATTTCTTGAACTAAATACAAAAAAAAAAAAATTTTATAACTTAATTAAAAAAAATCAATAAAAAGTAATAGGAAAGTTGTGGATTAGACTTACACATAATAATTTAATTTAATTATAATTATAATAATTATTATTATGGGCTGCTATCTAAAACTGCCATAATCGCTGCTGGTATTATCCACAAAGCAAATGGATTCATTGTACTTCTATATTCGATCTTACAATAATTGAGCCTTTTGCATTTTTTTTTTCCTTCTTCTTCTTCTGTGAAGGGTCTTTTCGTCAATTCATATTTGATTATTGTTCTAATTTCTAATTTATGTTTAATTCTAATTTAGTACTCACGTCTCGATTTAGTCCGTAAATCTTTTAAAATACATATATGGTTACTTATCATTTCCCGCCATGATACATCTTTATTAAGGATTGACTTTTTGAAATTAGTTCGAAAAAAATTTGTGGCTATATTATTATTATTTATACCCTTCACATCCTTGTTCCGTAGGGTTTTGAAATTAGATCGTAAAAAAATTTGTGGTTATGTTATTTATTTTTATTTTTTTGTTATTTTTTATATCCTTCACATCCCTGTTTCTTAGGTTGTAAAATAAGATGGAGGGACGATTATTTGGTGGAAGTCGTTTCGGTACTTCACCGTCGAGAAATGAAAGAAAACCTCTATTTCCAAGTTTGTAGCTCGGTTCTTCAAACCGAAATACCCAACAAAATTAGCTTTTGTATGAATTACATGAAATTAGAATTGAATTAGAAAAATAAGTAAAACATATTTAAATGTAAAGACCAAATAAAGAAAAATAGGAAGGGTAAAGTTGGCATTAAAGTATATCATATATTTGTCGGAAGATTTTTAGACTTATCCGAAGACAAAATTTGACCTCTAATTATAATTTATTTGCAGTAAGGTTTATAGGGCGGTGGCTGGAGCTCCAACTGTTAAGGCAGTTTTTTTTTTTTTTTTTTTTAAAAAAATATTATTATTACTATTAAAGACAGAAAACTGGGTCCACTAAATTATTTAGATTTTTGGATAAAATACGTAGAAAACGCCGCGGATTATCCGATCAAATGCCGTCAAAATAATGACACGTGGCGTCCTTGTTAAGACGTGGCGAGATCTGAGTGGAGCAACATAAGTTACAAGTACAAGGGAAGCGAAAGAAAAAAATTAAATTAAAAACAAACATCGGTGAAATAAAAAAAACAGAAAAAGGGGAGAAGACCGATTCTTCTGCTGCAAACGCCAAGTTCCGGCGCGGCGTTAGGGCGACACGGGAATCTTCTTCGTGTATTCTTTCTGGTTTTCTCTTCTCTGGAAATCGATGTTTTAGGATTCTCTATATCTTTAATTTGTTGTTCGGACGGCATTTTTGGCTGAAGAACGAGGGGGATTGTTATTATTATTGCCCGTTACGGTTCCGGCTCCGTCTTTTGTTTGTCCTGTTTGGTGGTTGAATTTGTGAGCTGAAAGCTCCTGTTTCAATGTCGGCAATCTCGATTTACAGGCCGGAGTTTTTGGGATCCGTCCGATATGGATACCGGAACGACCTCATATTTCATAGAAATGTTGCCTCGTGGTCTATGTAAGTTCGATTCTATTCTTCTTCTTCCGTTCGATTCTGGTACCAATTTTTTCAACTTTATGATTTGGTTTTCATCGCTGCCGTTCATTTGATTGGATAAGGTTCCTATTTAGATTATTACAAAATCGTATGAGTTGATTTCCGGCGGGAACGGGCCGGTGATGAGTTGGTATGTTGTTTTGATTGGAGATTTCAATTTTTTTGAATTTGAATTTGAATCAGGAAGATGGATTCTAAATCGCCTCAAACGATGAAGGAAGAGATTTCTATTCAGATTTCAACGCCTCTGTTGCTACCGAAGTCGAAACCATCGACGCCAAACGAATTACGGTTTAATCGGCCGCCGCCAGGTGATCAAGAATTAGTTCACAAAAAAAAATTGGAATTCGGTCAATTCGTAGCCAGGGAGGCCGTGCTTGATGAAGAATTGTGGGTAAGTGATTTGAATCATTTGATTTTGTGCTTGATGAAGAAATCTTCAATCTCAGAACCTTAAAATCGTTCTGAAAATTTTGGACCATAAATAAGTTGTGGCGTCTGTGTGCTTGATTTTGTGGTAGACAGCGGCATGGCTTCGGGCTGAAAGTCATTGGGAGAATCGAAAAAATGAACGGTAAATGACCTTTGTTTTATTTTATTGAAAGAAACTTTGTCGCTTGTGCACACCTTATCTTCTAAACCACAAGAACAAACCAAAATCTGAAAAGAATAGTTTAAATATTCAATGATATCCTGTTAAGCATCTGAGAATTTATACAGAAATTGGACTTGATATCAAAAGGGGCAGCAAAAAGAAAACCAAGCTGCTATTGATAATACCAAAAATGTTCAAATTTCATTGCTCATAAGTTGTCAATAGTACAACGGAGATTGTAGATATGGTTTATTCAAGAAAGTGAAAAGAGTTGGATGCAACTGATTTGTAGCTCTGCTTTAACACAGATATGTTGATAGCTTCAAAAGGAAATTTGCAGAACAGGTAGGATTGGTTAGATTTGTTTGATCTTCTTGTGTGGTTGAAGATGAATTGGTTCATACCCTTAATTTCTATATATATCCAATGAATGTTGCAGGAGTTCAATGCCATTAAAAGAAGATGTAGTGGGCTTGGACAGTCATGCACATGCATTGTCACGGTGAGAAACTTTTGGCTATAAAAAGTTGTAGCCGTGAAATTTTACCATGGCAACCATTCATTAAGCTGGTGGAATTGGCTTTGTTTTCTAATATGAACTTTCTCAGGTAAGCAAGGAACAGAAGCATATAAAACGCACGGTGATTAAAAGCGTCGTAGCCACTCTTGATATGAGCTTGCGGCATTTGATGCACGGCGAGACTTTTCCAGGGGTTGAACTCGAATTTATGTCGTTATTATTATCTACTTGCTCTTATCTCCCTTTCTTCCCTTTGGCTAACCATGTGAAGGAATGATCCTTATATACAGGAAAGAGAGAAGAGCCATGTATGCAGCATCAACAAAGAGATACCAAATAAATATGCATATGTTTCAAACTTATGTGTATCGAAAGCAGCACGTCGTCAGGGTGTTGCTAGCAATATGTTGAAGTTTGCAGTTGAAACAGCAAGATCCAGTGGTATAACCCAAAGAGAGATTAAAATTCAATCAAACTATATGAAAATGCAATGCTTGCTAATATGGTTTCTGATAATACTTTTGGTGACAGGTATCGAACAGGTATACGTGCATGTACATAGAAACAACACACCTGCCCGACTATTGTACGAAAAGATAGGCTTTGAGGTAATCATCTACTTACGCAAATAAAACTCCTTCATTCTTTGTTGCATTACGCTTCACTTCGTGGAGTTTATACATACGTTCCAATTTTCAGGTGGTCGAAATAGCAAGCTCACAATTGTTGGAAGAACAAACTTACCTACTATGTATTAACACACGGAAGCTTAACAATGCATATTGGTGTTGATATTCATTCATAAGGTACTTGTACTGACATTGGAACTCACAAAAAGTGGTGAGTGCAATGAAATTTGGGGTGTAAAAGTAATATTCTACCATTCTTGTAGCGTACATATTCTTTGCAATCTTTCTACCAAAAAAAGCCCCTTGCACTTATAGTTCAGTTCATACACGAGTACAAAAAGGTTTCTTCTTATGAAAACTTGCACAAGTGAAAGGTTGGAGACCGACAAACACACCTGAAAACATCCAAAGAGTTAGCACTATAGAGCCTCAATAGTCAGTTTTCAACACCAAGATAGGTCGAGACTAAGCAAATTCTTAGAACAGGTAAGCAAAATTGTTGTGCAGTGGCCAACTTCCACAAACCCATATGTAACAATCCAAGCTCACCGCTAGCAGATATTGTCTTCTTTGAGCTTTGTAACAATCTAAGATTACTGCTAGTAGATATTGTCCTCTTTGGGCTTTCCCTCAAGGTTTTTAAAACGTCTTTGCTAGGGTTTACACACCCTTATAAAGAATGTTTCGTTCCCTTCTCCCTTCTCCAACCAATGTGAGATCTCACACCATAATTGTCCCAATCATTAAGGAAAACCAGCATCTTCCATGAACTCAACTTAATATCATTAATTACTGGCCTAACTTGGTCGAGAATGGCCAGAAAAGCGAAGATAACCATGATGTAATTATGGACTTCCCATTTCCAAATTCATTTATGTAGCACATGGCAGAAAATATATAGCTATATCCCATGAACTTTTCTAGGCTCCTGTTCTATAATAGTCTTTATATCTATTGCTTCAAGGAAAAAGAGAGATGGGAAATGGGGAAAGGGAGTTAAATACATACCCTCTTGACATTATTGTTCAATGAAAGCCCAATTTCTCTCTAGAAATCCCCACAAATGCAGCAACAAACAGCTTCATCACTTGCAAGAACAAACGATATTCAATCAATCAGCCAACAATGCCCATGTTAAATACCTCTTGTCTGCCAAGTGTGAATGCGTAGTGAAAAAGTTCTGAACAAATGATTATATAAACTGCTAGAATATCTAAAGCTCGTGTCTGATTTGGCTTGTATGGATTTATTGGTCAATTTCCTGCATCCAAAACAAAAAAGAATCATACACATTGGTTAAAATGAGTTCCTTCAAACTTTGTCCCCGGGCGGTCGATGTTCTTGGATGAACTTGTCACGAACATCTCCAATTCCAGTTAATAACACCACTTCCAAACTTTAAAGCTTCTTCCTTGCAGAAATCATTAGAATTGGATGAATCTGTAGGTAATCGTAAAGATACAATTCTCTTCTGAGGAGAGAGCACTTGTTGATATTAAAGATTACAATGCAGGAGCAGAAGAACACAAGTGCAGCGACACCAACGTCAGAAAGACGATAAGCACGGGACAACGAGATGGCCGAGAAGTTAAGCATTTTCGGAGAATCATAGCCGACTAAGCTTCGGCCTGCATGCATCTGGGACAAGTTCCAGTGAAGAAATTGCCCTCAGCAAACCCATATGCACAAATCTCTCAACGAGGGAGGCAAAGGCTATGCCAGTTAGGGAGCCATTCAAACTGGTGCAGACCATTCGCTCAATCACTAGCGATCTTCATTGCAGTAGAGAAGGACCCAGGCCAGTCTTTAGCTCTCAGCGACAGTTCTTCGGACCATCATCGACCAGATGTGCAGTGCCTGAAGCCTCGGCTTCTATGGAGCACTAGAGCTTCTGTAATCAATGTGTCCTTTCACCATGTTGTTCAACAGCATCTCCTTTGCAATGTAGCCATTAGCGTCCATATCCCCTCCATCTTTGTAACTTTGGTTTACCTTCTTCAATAACTATTCCCTTCGGTCTTTCACGAACGAACCGATAATTTAAATGACCAAAGTTCGGCTGAGGACAACTTCAAAATCGCTAATGTGGGTAGTGAGGATTATAGAGTTCGAAAGCACAACAGATTCCTTTTATGATAGATTTTAAGATGACGATGACGACAATTGAGATGTTTTGGATGAGGTCTTAGTGAAAAGGACCACAAATTCAAGTGATGGACCTGAATTTTGATTCGGATTCGGATTCGAATTCGAAGTTTTATCGAATAATTAAGTATTCGTGTAAGCCTGAAGGGATGGATTGAAGGGTGTGAAACGTAGTCCCAAACAGGGCCGAGACAAACATGAAAGTTGAACCATAAAGTTCTTGTTTTTCTTTATTCTAAATTAGGATTAATAAAAAAAAAACATCAATGGATGATTATTACAACCTTAAAGCTACCAAACACATGATACAGACACCATACATGATACGACGATTAAGTGGACGACAAGGAAAAAACTACAAGACACAGCCAAAGACACACCAACAACTAACAATAACGACTCTCTAATAAAAATCAATCTCTATAGGAGACTTTTCTCTATCGAGTTCATCTAACCACTTCCGCCCAGAACGCCCTTAAGCTTTTTGATCGTAGCAGGGTCCAAGAACGTCGTCTTCGCAACGATATCGGTCGGCAATTCGTTACCGAACAAGGCGAAGTCGAGAATTTGCAGCCCTGGGTTGGCACTACTAAAGCTAACAAATCCAAGAGCACCGCCCTTGCCGGAGTTTATTTGGAAATGTAGTAGCCCTTGAGGGAATACCATAATGTCACCTTTGTTCAATGTCTTGAAGTAGACGGTATTCGCCGACGAAACAAACCCGGCGCAGATTGTGCCTTCGACGACGAGCAGAACTTCGGAGGCAGCAGGGTGGGTGTGGAACGGTATCACACCGCCAACCGCAAGGTCAAGGCGAGCCAATGAGATTCCGAGGCCATTCACGCCGGGAAATTGAGCAGTGAAGGCTGGAGTCACAGCCGCCTTGATGAGATTTGACGTGTTACCTATGATTACAATAATATATCATAACCCATCAACTTAAATTCAAAGTCCGTAATATTAGAGAAAACAATAGTTCGACATTACCAGCAACACCGAGGCCGGAGTAAACAAAGTCCTTTTCCGTAACAAGTGACACCTTCTTGCAAGGGAAGCCAGCGGGCGTGTCGGGGGATTTGAGGTCGGCGACACAGAAGTCTTGGACGAGAGCGTGGGAAAAGGAGGCGAGGACGGAGAAGACGAAGAAAAGAGGAAGCACCATCTTGCTAGCCATGGATAACAAAGTAGGGGAATGAGAGGCCATTTATATAGAAGTAGAGGGAGGGAGGTGTGTAAGAGGATAACAAAGGCAATGGGCTAATGAGACATGATCCATTCCCATGCACCATTTTGTGGCATAATTGAAAGGGTGTGGTTTAAGTTTTGGACAAAAATTTGTGAGCTGTGAAGCATGTGATTCGGGTCTGATTTTATATTGAAAAGACAACAAAAAGTTGCTTTTTGTATGGTGTCAAAACCCGAGAAAGGGAAATATCTCGAACAAAAAATATCTCGTTTTAACTCAAAAACTTCCCTCATATTTGAGTGTTTTTATTTGATTCTCGAGCTCAGGAGACACATTTGAGTTCTTCGTAATGTTTAAGAAACAAATTTTTTTAACTTAGGTTCTATTTGGTTCCCGAATTCTTAGAATTAATATTTTGATCCTTGAAATTTAAATTATGTTTTTATTTGGTTCTTAGACGTTTGAATTTGATTTCTAAATGGGTTCTAGTAAAGTTGACGTTAATTGACCAAATGAAATGATGATTTGATTGTTAATATATGCTAACTCGACTTTAATTATATGTATTTTTTTTTATCTAATATACACATGAATCAATTATCAAATCCAAACAGTGAAGGGCAAACATGTAATTTTTAAAATTTAAGGACGGAATAGAAATTAAATTCAAATCCCAGAGACCAAACGTGTTAGTTAGCCTAAATATAAACTAAGTTTAAGTAGAAAATAAAACAAAGAAACGCATGATAAAATTAGGGTTTCTATGTTCAAAAACAGAAAAGCAAAAACAAATGGCTACTGAATACGAGCTAGATTTTGCTGGGCGTGTGAATCAGTGAAACCCTGCAATTCGTGATAACCTCATTGTAAGCTTGATTTAACCTAAACCCTAAAATCATACGTATATTTAACTACACGAGCGTTTTCGTGATCTCATTCTCGTTTATAGGCTTTCAAGAAAAGGGAGTGTAAATATCTAGTCGAAGAACGGGTAACCGAACATAATTTAAAAAAAAAAAAAAAAAAAAGAGCTAAAAAGATATTGAAAAAGAGAGAAAAAGCCAAAGTGGGTCCATTACGTAGTCACATGAGTATGGAAATGAGGTAGAAAATAATGGAAGGGCAAAAGAAGACATAACATAACAGCTAGCTCTGGATTTGCAAACAGCCAATTACATATCTTCTTGCCTCTTCTTTCAATTTGAAGCCATGCACAGATTTGTGTGGACGACCAAGCTTCCCTATCTTTTGGGTTACTCTCTTTTCACCCGCTTCTATTCGCTCATCTCAAATTTGGATAACTTGTCGTTACGTTTTTGTTGGGTTTTGTTCGTGAAAAAAAAAGGATCGGTTTACGTTTCAAAATTATTCGAAACATCAAGAGTAGATTCGAGTAGCTTTACTGAAATTGCTCGTTGTATCACGATGAGAAAGTTATAACTTGCTTTTAACTCGTGTAAAGCGAATAATTGGCTTTAGGATAGTGTTTTTTAAACGTGTCTCGACTACTAATTGACTTTATCACAAAATCTCGAAGTTATGTTCGTTTTTAGTTATTGCAGTTTTTAACCTTCGTTTTTTCATTTACAAGGTAGAATGATAACAAGGGCACATTGGTAAATATCCACAAAGTAGTTATAAGAATCGAGAATATATATTTTAAAAGTACTTTATAATTTTTTCGAAAATTCAAAAGCTAAAGTACATTTTTCTTATCTAGGGATGACTTTTTAGCGGCGTGGCCAAATGTTGGCGGTAAACACTAATTATTAGCAACGCTTTGTAAAAGTAAGTTTGCTAAAACTTGTAACACGTTGTGGTTGGTGTCACAGTCATATTTTTTTTTTTTTAAGACGTATGGTCCATGACTGCATGTTCATTCCAAACTTTTTACCGTATGTCCTCCATTAGCATAGTTTTTTTTTTAAACTGTGTCGGTGTATGACTCCTTGCCCCTTCTGATGTCTTATATGTCAAAAATAATTTAAATTATAATGTATTATTGGAGGATACGACTAATTGTCAAATTTTCTTATTCGTATTATATGCTATCAATGTCACTTTTTTTTTTTCTTCTAAAATCGTTTTCTGGGGAAAGAGACTATCAGATAGTTCATTTGTGACGCTGACAAGCCGAATTTGAGTTCGTTGATTTACTCAAGAGTGATAGTGTCATATAATCGTTTTGTGAGGCTCAAAGACGTGTGATTGTCACAGTTGATATCAAAGCTGAGTTGACTCGAAATAAAAAAAACATATGGATAAGGAATCAACTCAAGGGAAAACCCTGATACCAAATGATAAGAAATCACTACAAGGGAAGTAAGATTCAGATTATTTTGTTGATCAAATATGTTTAAGTAAAAACACTTGTTTTAGATTCAGATTATTTTGTTGATCAAATATGTTTAAGTAAAAACACTTGTTTTAGATTCAAATCACTCCAGAATCAATATCGATCATGTCAAGCTTGAATGATTCTAAATATGCAATCTAAACTACATATAATTACAAACGAACTTAGAAAGGAAAGTAAAAATACTCTTTTTACTGCACCTTACAAAGACAACATACATGACTTTGTATAACCTCAAAATTAACATTTTTAACCCCGAGGCATTCAGTTGTGACTTTTATATTTTGTCTATAATTAACCATTGTGTATAATTTACGACCAAATTAGCCACTACGTAAATGTTACCTTAAAGTAAATAAGAAGTCTTAAAACACATTAACGAAATACCAAAACTCTAAATTATTATTGTGAGATCTCACATTAGTTGAAGAGGAGAACGAAACATTCCTTATAAAAGTGTGGAAACCTCTCCCTAATCGACGCATTTTAAAACCTTGAAGGAAGCCTAGAAGAGAAAGTCCAAAGAGAACTATATCTCCTAGCAGTGGGCTTGGGCTGTTACAAATAGTATTAGTACTAAACATCCAACTGTGTGCCATCGAGAACACTGGACCTCTAGAGGGGTGAATCATGAGATCCCACATTGATTAGAGAACCCCGTGGAAACCTCTATTTAGTGGACGTGTTTTAAAGAGGACAATATCTCCGAACATCTCTTCCTAAAACCTATATGTTTTAAAGCCTGAAAGAATCCCGAGAGGGAAAGCCCAAAAACGGCTCGCAACCATTTTATACCTTAAAAAGTGTTCATAATCATAATAATAATAATAATAATAGCATTATTATACTTCGATCCCTAAAGAAAAAGGACAATATCTCCTAAATATCTTCAAAGGCGGGAAAGAGGCCCAAGAAATGGATAGTCTGTGTAGCCAACAACAGGATCTTGTGTATAGAACGTCTTCCTAACATACTTGTTCAGTGGTGCATTCAGCTTAAATCTCAAAGCCAAATCAGGGTTCGCAATGAACAGCCTACCATACGACACCAAGTCGGCATCTCCGTTCTCGATCGCTTGCATTCCCAATTCACGAGTGAACCCACCGCTGCAAATGAACGTTCCTTCATAAGCTCTTCTCAAACTCCTCATGAACTCAGCCTCCGAGTCTTCACTTCCAGGCCTACCCGACTCAGTCTGGCCGTAGGCCGTGTACCGGGGCTGAGTTACATGGACATAACTCAGCTTTCCACTGATTTCCTGTTGGAGTTTGTTAAGTTGATCGACGACATGTAGTCCTAGCTTGAGAGGATCGGAATCCATAGCGTCGAGGTGATCGATGGCTGGAGAAATTCTAACACCAACTCTATATGCTCCTATAGCAGAAACCACGGCATGAACTACCTTCAACAAGAATCTAGACCTGTTTGAGAGACATCCTCCGTACTGGTCGGTTCTGTCATTTATACCATCCTTCAAGAACTGGTCCAGGAGGTAACCGTGAGCTGAATGGATCTCAATCCCATCGAACCCTGTTCAAAATTCTATCTCAAAAGTGTTCGACAAAAATAAGTGCAAGCTAATTGTAACGACCCTAAATTTCTACATATTCAGAGTCGCTATTAATGTCTCATATAAGGGGTACAACATGAGGACTTCCCAAGTGGTCACCCAATTTTCCAAGCACGCTATGGAGTTCTGATGGGATCCAGTTCAGGCGTAGTAGCGACTCTGAATATGTAGAAATTTAGGACTGTTACACTAATAATAACCTGCTCGAATGGCGTTCAAGGCAGCCTGTCGATAATGCTCGACCACGTCCTCGATTTCATGAGTTTGCAGTGCTCGTGGGCTTGGGTAGATGCCATAGGAGCCATCAGGAAGCAGAATTCTCCATCTCTTGGAGATGGGTGTGCTTGTGGATGAAATTGGTGGCATCCCATCAGGCTGATAAACTGGTCAAAATAAGAGAAGTTCAGGAAGGAGCTATTAATAGATGATTAGTGTGAGATCCCGGTTTTGTTGGTTAGAAATCTCTCTGTAGACGCATTTTAAAAATTTTGAAAGTGGAAGGAAGACAATATCTACTGACTAGGACATATAGGAAGACATTGAACGATGTGTCAGTGAGGAGACTGAGCCTCAAAGGGGTGGACATGAAGCAGTGTGCTAGTAACAACGCTGGCCTTCAAGGAGAGTGGATTGAGGGGTCCCACATTGATGGAAGAAAGTGAATGAGTGCCAGCGACGACGCTGGCTCCAAAAGACTTAAATTGTGAGATCCCATAACCGTACCTTGATGTGAAGCTCGGCCGACGTGCCAGAGCTGACAGAAAATGATGCTGCCTTTGGCATGAACAGCATCCACCACTGCCTTCCATGCTTGCACCTGTTCTTCCGTGTAAATTCCAGGAACATGGGGAAACCTGCCAAGTTCAGTTTCAACTCATTTTAACTTATTTTATAAAAAATAAAAAAGTTTTAAGAATAAATCTTATCTTAAATATTAGAGATACGCTGAGTAGGAATGTTCGTCAGTTGGGTCGGGATCTAATTATTATAAACTCAACTATAAAAATATTGGGTTTGATTGGTTCACGTTGTTTTTTATTATTTATTTTAATTATTTCAATTTGAAAAATTATATTTTAAAGCCTTAATATATGCCCTCCACAAAATATTCACAACTTTTAAATTCAAATTAATTTACGAAAATTATTTTTATTTGCTATCAAATCATATGAGTGACCAAAAATACGACATTATTATGCCATTTTTTTTAGAGAATCTTTTCCGAATCTAAAAAGGAATTACGGTCATTTTCAAATTTTTTAGTGGAAAATAAAAGATGATAAGATTGTGACATTTAAATTAATTTTGTCTCACTTAATTAAATTAACATGAGAAAAAATATTCAAAATTGTTCCCACAACAACATTAGTTTATTGCATGTGACACGTGGCATACATTCAAAATAATAAATATTTATTTAATCCATTAATGAAAATACCTTAAATTTTGTAATTGTTGCAGAATAATATTTATTATTATCCCTTGAAATTTTAAAAAGAAAATTAAAAACTACTTTTAAATTTTCAAAATTTCATTATTATCCCTTCTTTTAACAATTTTTTAAAAAATTTAAAAATACTATGAAAAAGTTTGGAGGTAATCCATACGTGATAACTTTTTTTTGAAATTTTTGTTATAAAAATAAAAAGTGTGAATGTCACTTTAAAATTTTATTAAATGTATTTTTAAATTTTTTAAGAAATGAAAAGATATTAATGAAATTTTTAAAAATTTTAAAGTATTTTAAAAATATTATTAAAAGTTTTGAATGTATTTTTTAAATAAAATATTAATCATTTTTATTAAAAAATAATGATAAAAATATTTTTATTAATTTAGACTATAACTTTGTTTTTTATAAATATAACTAATGATATAAATATTTTTTATAAATATTTATACAAACGAAACCTTCCAAATTTGTTAATAAGGCAATAATTTAAATTTGTTAATAAATTTTATATAATTTTTGTAAAATACCAAAATTAGATTTTTAGAAAATTAAATACCAATAGCCATGAAAACGTGGGACCCACCATTGCTCGCCGCGCTCCCATAATAATTACTCCTAAAATTACCAAATAGCCCTCAAACTGATCAAAATTTCACAACTTACCCAGCCGCCGTGGCGGAGATCGAAGTTCCTTCGCTGATTAGAAACCCGCCGTCCGTAGACCTCTGAGTGTAATATTTGGCCAGCGCCGCTCCCGGAATCCCATTCAAAGCTCTGCATCTCGTCATCGGCGCTAGAACTACTCTGAAAATCGGTCACCAGATCCGCCGCCAAACACACATAAAAACAACAATCCATCAATCAATCAATCGATTGGTTCCGAATCAAACTCCGGCGAAACCTCTGTCTCCGAAATCGAGGACTGAAAACAGAGGATCGGAGGAAGTAAGAGATGAAAGACAACGAACCTGTGAGAGAGATCGAACTTCCCCATCCTGAACGGAGAGAAGAGTGTAGCGGTTCCATTTCTCGCCGGAGTTTCAGCCATTTTCAATGAGTTGGGATCAGAATTTGCCGACGGCTACGAGATGTGGGGAGCTTAATATACAAAGGCGTTTCCACGTTTTAAGTGGAAGTGGAGCATTTGATCAAGGAGTTGCAGTCCAAATATTTTTGACTGGTCGGCGAAGGAGATAGTAATCTGGTGCATCCGAGTCTAGATTTGGAGCTGTGTGTACGAGTATTGGCCGTCGGATGAAGCTTGATTGTGTAGGTCGGTGGATCCAAGTCAAAGTTAGGGGTTGAAAATGAATTAAGGTTACAAAAATCAATTTATACTGTTTTTTTTTTCAATTTACATTCTCGATTATTATCTTAAAAAAACATGAATTTATGCAAATTTATAATTATATCAAATAAACTTTTAAACTTTCATAAATCATTCAATTTAGACTTTAATTTTAAAATTATTATTTGAAAATTATTCATGGTATAAAAAGAACGGATTCAATTATAAAAAATTCAGAAATTTAGACCTTTAATTTTAAAATGTTTCTTGCCTTAAAATATTAAAGTTTCACGTTAAGTTTTGTATGAAAAACGTCAAAATTTCCCGTTAAGTTTTGTATGAAAAACGTCAAAATTTCATTTTAATAATACTCTTAAATTTTCAAAAGTTTCAAAAATACTCACAACCTATGAAAAAACGTTAAATGTCGTCGTTTATACTTTTATTGGTCATCAAGGTCTAGAAAATTTATTACCACCCAACATTACGTTAATTAATACCACCGTCACATCAATGTCTTTTCTTTAAGCAAATGCATCAATGTCTTTTCTTTAAGCAAATGTCAATACCTTAGTGCTATAGTATAAAATGAATTATCTAACACTTCTAGGCTTATTTACATACACGAAAACTCAATAACCTAACACAAACTTTTAAATTAGACAAATTTAAAAGCTTTAGGTCGTGAAAATCAATTCATATACCTAAACGATTCATGTGTTGTATGAAAAAAAAATTAACTAATGATTGTATCAATTTAAACCTTTCAATTATTAAAAGAGTATTAATTTATACTTTCCAGTGCACTTCCATTAAAAAAAAAATGTTCCTTACGTAAATGAATCAATCTAGATCATCTATTTCAAATAATTAATGATTATCAAATAGACATTCTTTTTACATTTGTTTCTTTCCGAACAGTCTTCCAAACTTTACCAATAGTATGGACGAATCTGTCACTTCATAAAAATGTGTAAAAGAAGTTAGTATGCACTTAAAAGTTGAATACTCTACCATTAAGTTAACATCTCCAAAAACATATATGAAAAAAATATAGACGGAATCAGAATCAAAATAACAAAATGAAAATAAATTACACCCCATAATCACAAAAAAAAAAATACAATGAAACCATCATGTATGAAATGGAGACGGCAAATAACCATTAGTTCATAAAGAATAAACTGACACGAGATTGAAAAGTTAGGAATTCAAATGCAATCTAAACCAAATTTTAACCACAACAAAGGTATCGATTTTTGCCCTAACTGTTCATTTAACCTAATAATAATAATAACCATAAGAAGAATAAGAATAATAATGCAAGTAATCCAAGAAAGAAAGATGAAAAAGTAAAATAGAAAAAGGGAAGTTGTTTTTAACAGGAAAAGTAAGTCTGTCAAAGTTTTTCGAGAGGGGTCCCTTTGTTTGTACCTGAAAAGCTATGCATGTGGTTGAATCAGCCATTCATTCAGATTCAAATAACAACTGAGCTGGAGCACCATCTCTCTCAACAAATGCCAAACTTGGAACACACATAACTTTCTTCCAAACAAAACCCAAATCTATCCAAATCCACTCCCTTGCTTCCCATTTCTCAACCCAACCTTCCACCTCAAATTTATGATTCTAATTCATCCTAATCTAAAAATATCGAATAAGGTTTCGGGTAATTTAACATGATATTAGACCAAGAAGGTAGGTTCGAGCTCCTACTACTACAATGTTGTTCGACTCACCGCTTAAAAAACTCACCTCCCCAACTTCCCCAGCTTCCCCAGCTATGCATTTACTTCTACGAATGTTCTAAACAGCACCAACCAAAGCACAGGTCACATACATACATGTTTCTACTCTATTCCTTTAACGATCCAAAACTACTCTTCTAAAGTGTTCTAAGAATCAATCCCTAATCAGCTAATAGAAAACTAAAGAGAGATGTATAAAGAACTGAGCAGTAGAGTTAAAGAGATTAGAAGAGCAGCAAGCCAAAAGGTAAAATACTTCTGTAGTAAACTGTAAAGTGGAAGGCACAGAGCACAGCAAAGCAAGCAGTTGGGAAATAAAACAAAGCAATTTCAGCATCAGCCTGAAACTCAGAAGGAAAAGGATAAAAAGAGAAGGGTGTATTTTCTGTTTTGATCAGAACTTAAAGGACCCCCTTCTTCCTGAGCTGCTGAATCGCTCATTTTTTGCAATTTTTGAAATTGCAAAAAGGCCAAATGGGTAAGTGGGGGTTGCCGGGAGGAAGTCTGCAAAATCCTGAGGAAAAGTAAAAGAGTTGGAAGCAGACAGTAAAAGCTCGTACCGTACAAACAAACAAAAAAATTTCTTCTTCTCAGGCATTGGCTTCTGACACCAACTCTTTTGTGTCACATTTTATAATAAATTCTCTTAAATCTGTATTTACACTGCTATTTATTTCCCCTTGCTTTCGTTTGTGGGTTTCTGTAGAGATGTCAGAGACAAGAGCTGCAAAAAAAAGGCCAGTTTCCCTCCTCAACCAGAAGTTACAGAGAGATGCAGTCATAATATGAACACTTGAACAGGCAAGAAGAGAGAGGGAGAGGTGGGCATGCAACACCATAATCAGAACCATTAGTTTATCAATTGCTGAAGACTCTGCAACCCAAATGGTCTCTGAAATAAATATACAGTTCAGGACATACACGATACTCAGAGGGCTCTAGTAATAATCTAAACAGAGGAGCCTCCCACTCCCTGACCTGGTTTTATCATCTCCCTGGAGCTCTGTCTTGCTTGCGATTTGAAGTTCTTTGTTGTTTCTCTCAACTGATAAATAGACTTATTTTTATCTATTTCAAGTATGTGTACCAGAAGTATGTTTCCCTTCACCTCAGCTCAGTGGCAGGAGCTTGAACATCAAGCTCTCATCTTCAAATACATGGTTTCCGGCATTCCTATACCTCCTGATCTCCTCTTTAGTATTAAAAGAAGTACCTTGGACTCTCCTTTCACTTCTAAGCTTTTCCCCCACCATCCTCAACATGGTAAATAAATATCTCTCTATCTCCCTCTCCCATTCTCTCTCTTTATCAATGTTTCTGTTTCATGCAGTAGGGTGGAACTATTTGCAAATGAGTTTAGGGAGGAAGATAGACCCAGAACCAGGGAGGTGCAGAAGAACTGATGGGAAAAAGTGGAGATGCTCAAAAGAGGCGTATCCAGATTCGAAGTACTGCGAGAGGCACATGCATAGAGGCAAAAATCGTTCAAGAAAGCCTGTGGATGTTTTGAAAACGACAGCAACAAATGATATTAACCGCCTTTCAAATCCAGCGTTTTCTTCCCTAACCAACAATTCATCCCTACTCTCCTATCGGCCCTTCCCCGCTCATCAAATATCTTCAACTTCTAATGGGAATGGCATATCACCCCAAGACACTAATACCCTCTTGCTTCTGGAATCTGGTTCTTACTCGGACAGAAACCCAGATTACAGGTTTGTAGATTATTCTACTCTCTTTGGAGTTGGAGATTAATATTAAGTATTGAGATTCTGACTTTTGTCCATCTTCTGTTATTAACAAGAAGAAGTAGGGACACTTATGGGCTAAAAGAGAAAGTCGATGAGTATGCCTTCTTCTCGCAAGAACCATCTGAAACTGCTGCAAGAGCCGATTCTCTGCAACTGACACCACTAACAATGAGTTGTTCTTCTCTATATCCAAAACAGAACAACTGCTCTTCTTTGCAGAATGATCAGTCCTGCTATCAGCCTCATCAGAGCCTCACAGACCCTTTGAAGCAACAAAAGAGAGATGAATCACAGAAGACAGTTCATCGATTCTTCGATGAATGGCCTCCAAAAGAGAGAGGATCACGGCTTGATTTCGAAGATAAATCATCAAATACTGGCTCAGTTTCCACCATTCGGCCCTCAACTTCCATTCCCACCACTTCCAACGACTTCCCCATTTTCGGATTCAACAACCCATAATGATTCCTGGCCCCGAACTCCTTTTTTCTTTCTTTTTTTTCCTTTTCTCCAAAGTCGGTTTGTTCCTGTGCCTGATCTCCAGGGTGACCCCAGTTGTTCCTTATTGAATTTTATTTGGTTTCCTAGGATGTACTTTCGGCTGAAGCTTCATCCCATCTTTTTTCTTTTGTAGGGTGGGGTTCAATTGGGCCATGGGTTGTTTATTAAACGAATGTTCCATCGTTTTTTATTCTAGTGTAGACTTTTCTACATCATTTCTTACTTAAAGGGTTTTGATCCCTTGGACACTGCATAGGCATGGAAATCAAATTTACTTCCACTGATTTGGAGGGAATGGATCAATATGCACATTTAAAGTATGCTATTTAAACCTTTTGTATACTAAAAAAAATCAGTCTACCTGATTAAATCAATTGAAGGGAAGATGATATCAAGTTCAACTTCCCCCAACTTCTTCCTCAACCTTCAACTTCATTTGCTCTACCTTTTCCAGCAATTACTATTTTCCATATAGAGGGGAAAAAAATAGACAATCTGCTGGTTAGAAAGAGGAAAAATAAAGATGCCAAAATGATAACAGTTGTAACTTTCAACATCAATAGTTTTACTGCCCATCATCAATGGTTGACACACAAATAGGAACGTTTCCATATTTAAACAAAATATATTTTGTAAAGCATTGCAAGAAAAAGTAGACAATGCTCATCAATTCTTCCACTGACCTGTCATCGATATAATGAAAATCCAGAGTTGGCAGCAGAATGGGTGTTGTCGGCACATAAAACAACGCGTCCCTGAAGATTCCAACATTAGGGATAAAGATTGGCTTCAGTTGCATTTATTAGCAATAAATAAAGATCAAGTTGGGAGACAACCTTCGAAAATCTTTAATATCCTGTTGCACAAAATGAAAATCCATCTATTCTTCTACTAATTAATCACCGGTAAATTTTACATGATAAAAGTGAAAATACAGTTTCATTATTCTAATAATGTATTAATCGCTGAAGCAATTTATCAGTCCGACTCTCTAAATTGCAGTTCTAATAGAACCTCTAACCATATGAATACCAAACAAATTTTACTATGTTGAGAGCCTATCAGATGATAAAGAGAAAAACATTCTAAAATTTACTCTTCTACTGGCCGTAATATCATTAAAGGTTTAGGTAAGACATTGATGCCTCGGGACACTGGGCAACAGAAGCAGCCAATGTAGGTGTGGTAATAATCCGTCGAGCTGCTGCATTTCACCTTAACTTAAGGGAAGTTGGTAGAACCCGATTTGAATATCTTGGCCGAACCAAGTTCGAGAGTTAATAAAGGCATATTGTTTGGATTACTGCCATCTCATCTGATTTCTCCATCACTACCCTCTAGTCCAGCGGAGTTTTCTCTTTCAAGTCTGGACTTTCCCTGCGTGTGCATAGGCTCATCGTCTTCCGATTCCGACCATGTGGCCCTTCGTCGGGCTGCATTGGATGAAGGTACACCCTGCAACTTCAAAGACCAAAAATTAACTAAATGACCCAAACTAATCCAACAAAATACCCAAAAAGGTGTATAATATACAAAAAGAAAAACCACTTTGGAAGAATAGAGAATGACAGTTACACTGATTAGCAATTCAACCTTAACAATATCCGACCAATAGATTTAGAAAGGACAGGTGAACGGAGTAAATTGACTCTAAATCATGATCATGAAGAGACTCGTAGAGATTCAAATACTTCATTAAAATGAACACGTCGTAGACTCAAAATTAGATGCAATAATTTATAGCAAGAGGCAGTATCAAGAGAATCTACTTGAGTTCAGATCAGAGATGCCAATCTTGTCTCAAAGATAATATCGAGGTAGTAAAAAGATATTACCGCTTCATCCTCAGCATCAGAATCTTCAAGCCCAGCTTCAGCAAGAGCATCCTGATCATTCCCTTCTACATCATCGTCCTGATCATTCATTTGGCTGTGGGACTCCCTATAACTTGTGTTATTATCCTCATTGTCTAGTTCTTGATCATCCATCATATCATTATCAGCCTCCTCTGTCTCATAATGCGATTTCCCCTTCCTGTCTTTCCTTCTCCTCTTTCCACCTTTCCTTCTCCTCTTCTCACTATTACCAGCTTCATCGTCATCAATCTCTGACCTTTCTCTTCGTTTAGCAGGTGCGGTGCTCTTCCATTGCTCCTGGAGGACAATTAAATGAGCTACTCGAGGTATCAAGTAAAAGATAGTCATCCAAATAGCATGCAACAGAACATGATCTCAACTTCTATTAACAGAAAGTGTGCATTACTCAGCACCACTAAAGTGCATACGCAAACTCAACCTTAAAACCCTGCTCTAATGAATAAAGGGGATTTCTCTAAAATATTACACACTAGAAAAGATAAAATGTTTCACCTTCCCCTCTAAACCACTTAACTTTGTATGAAACCATAAATCCTACTCTGACATGATAAGTAAATAAATGACGGGTGTCTGAACAAAATTCCTTCAATACCCTCCATTACCAATAGAATGCAGGTGCTCGAAATGCATGCCTTTTTAATTTCTCTTCACGTGTTCCACAATTCTAAAGTTCTGCGACATTATAATTCAAATACTCACAGAAACAATATAATTCAAAATAATTACCTTCACACGTTTAAAATGCTGCTCCTGTTGCATCATCCGCTTTTCCTCATCTTCCAGTTTTCTCCTCTCCAGCTGTTTTAGCAAATAATATCAGAAAAAAAAATTCATCACTCACTATAACTAATTCTCTTTTTTTGAAAAAAGGTTAAATATAATAATGATAAAAAACAACTCGTACTTGAAATTTCCTTTGTTCGTCTGCTTTTCGCCGGGCATCCTCGGCAAATGCAACTTGTCGTGCTAGTTCTTGTCTTTGACGGATCTGCTGCTCTTCATGTTCTGCTGCTTTGAGGTGAACTCCAGCAGCTTCCAGCAAGTGCTTGCAGTAACAAACATGAGTATCAATCTTCTTCTCATCAAACCCATGAAAGTGGAGGTTGGAGGCAGCAGATAACTGACTAAAAACACGAACAGCATTTTCCAGCTCCACTACTGTTGAACGCACCTAATAGATTTCATTGGGGCAAAAAACAATTAATGCAATAGCCATGCAAAAGAGAAGGAGATGTGGGGTCAAAGATTGGAAAAGCATAATGGAGTAATTTAATTAGTGATCTAAAGGTTATTATAGATACATTCATAATTTCCATGGTTTTACAACTCAATTATACCTGAGACGCTAGGAGCTAAATAAATAATATGCCAACTCAAAAATTGATCAAGGATGATTATGCAGAAAACCAGGGTTAAAATCCTGTTCCCTAACAGGTATCGCCATCTTTACATTGAAGTAAAACAAATCATAATGTTTGGTTGAAGTATAACAAATCCTAATATCTGACTGCTGATAAGACCAGAACGTTTGATCATCTTTCTGAGTGTTTTCATCATCAAGTTTGAAGAAACTAACAGGTAATAAATTGATTATTCAGATTCACAAAGCTTCAGAGTAAATTCAGATCAAGTCCAGTCTCAGAATATTAAAGCTAGGAATGTCTTATTCCCCGCTCTAGCCCTATAGGCATTGATGAAATATTTTCTCATGTCTTGTAAAAGAAAATGTTTCTGGACTGTCCTGTCCACGTCCAAAAAAAAAAAAAATGGAAAAAGGAGAAGGATCAATACTAAAAAGAAGAATGAGCCAACTCCATTATGACATCTTAAAACATCTGTTTTTTCATCAAACTGATAGTAATTTAAACTAATTATGCCAAAACTTGAGGGAATGATGAGCAATCCAGGGTTAACTTATTAATGACTTCAGACCTTATAGAAATGAAGAAATGTCTCCACAGATATTTAACAGCAATAAATATTTAGGCCAAAAGTATCGAGAAACAACCTCATCTGCTGTCCTTTTTGTCTTTTGTAGTGTTGAAGCTGAAAACTTCTGCATTGCTACACCAGCATCAAATCTTAAAGTATAATTTGAGGGTGCCAAGTGGATAGCTCTCAGTAGGGTCTTTTTGCAGTCTTGCCACTGTTCAGCTTCATAAAATGTACGAGCTAGATAGAGAAGAATTTGATAATCTGTATTGTAATAAAACTTCCGCAAGCAATTTTGATACTGCAAGATAACAATTGGCATTAATTCATGGATGCAATAACGAAAAGAACTTTTTGTTAGTAAGATGAGGACACCTATAATTTTTCAGCGAACAAGATATAAGTATATACCATTTTCACAGCTAATGAAAAGTTTCCTTGAGCAAAATAGACATGTGCCAAATTGATCCACACATCTGGCATCTGGACAAAAATGTTCCCACTTGCAGCTTCTTGAACCTACAACAACTGAAAGTTAGCAAAAGGTGCAAATAACCATATAATTTTACAAGATACAGGTTTTAAAAGGTTGTAGTATGAAGTAAGAATACAAGTGCTCACTTGTGTAAAAATATCTTTCGAAACATCAAATTGACCTTTTTCAGCCAGGATGACCCCAGCTCCATTAGCGGCATACAAATTAGCAGGATGTTGTACCAGAACCTGCTCAATTAAAAACAAATACCAACCATTAAACTGCAAGATTAAAGACAATTTCCACAATTTACAATGAAGAAAACCCAGAAGATTGAACATAGGCCACTGAATACGAGATGCCTACTGAATAATCAACATTAATTTATGAAGTAGTTTAACTTCTTTATCCATTAAAATTAGGGCATCAAAAAACTCATACAAAAAGAACATTTTTAAGATCTTTTTAATATAATATTGCACATGCTCTTTTTAATAGAAAAGAATACATTCATCATCATCCCTTTAAACAAGTGCATTAAATGAGTCTTTTAATCAAAAACATTGCAGTATATGATAAAAGATACATGAACTTCATTCCATCAACCTTGACAGACCAAAATTACTTAAATTTAATCTGAATGCCAGCAGAAACATTTGACCATGTGTGGATATTGAAGCAATCAATAGATCCTAATTAACAAAATGAAGAGCGAGATATGGAGGATAAAACAAAAGAAAGAGAACTGAAAACATACCCTTGTATATAGTTCTTTAGATTTTTCCAAATGGGTAGCCTCCAACTTGGGATTTCTTTTCTCATTTCGAAGTGCAGCAAAGTAGTTCCAGTTTCCCTGGCCAAGGTTAAAAGAAAAATTAAAGAAAATAAAAACGATGTTTGAATGGTAGATACAGATAATAGTGGAGAAAAGAAATTTG